AACTCCATCTCGATAAATAAGGACTATTCGGTGACATATTCATACAACCATACTATTTTTAGGGATGACAGCAGCACCTGAATATGATGGCCTACACTGTATGTATAGCTGTACAGGCTGTTTAAATACTTCCTGAATTTGCTTTGTCCCTGGCAAACACCGAATAAACCAACGTCCTGCTTCTTGTTATCTGAGCAGTTCTGTTTTTGCTATCCTGGTGTACAGTAGGAGAGGCTGTTTGTGAAGGGTGTAGAGCAGCAGCCAGAGGGCCTGTATTCACAAAGCGTTAGAGTAAGAGTGCTGATCTAGGATCATTTTTGCCTTTTAGATCATAATACATAAGATAATATGAACAGATCCTAGATCAGCACTCCTACTATGAGATGCTATGCGGATAGGGGCTCAGGTCCTCTCTGAGCTATAGATAGGCAACACTGAGACAGGAGTAGGCTAACAGGAGTAGGGTATCATGCTAAACACTGTTCCCTTATTACTGTCCCAGAGTGCTAATTATGGCTGATGAGGCGGAGGGGAACCTGTTCTACTGCATCTCCAGGCGGCGGTTCCCCAACACACACAACGGCTACAGTACACACACACACACACACACACACACACACACACACACACACAGCACAGCACAGCGGCCTATAGATAGGAAACAGGAGCAGGCTGACAGGAGTAGGGTAGCATGCTAAACACTGTCCCATCATTACTGGCCCAGAGTGCTAATTATGGCTGATTATGACACACACAGTGCTAATTACGACACACACACCCAGCAGTGGCCTCATAGCCCAGACATGGGTTCAAATAATATTTGAAATCCTTCCAAATACTTTATGCCTTGGCTCTAGCCTGCCAGGATTGCCAGATGGGCTGGGTTTGAAATTTTTGAGACTATTCTATTGGTTCCATTGAGCAATGGAACCAATAGAATAGTCTCAAAAGTGTCAAACCCAGCCTAGTATTGTGAAAGGATTCCGAATACTATTTGAACCCAGATCTGCCTCACCGCCACAGAGCTCGTCTCATTTTGCTGATGGCGTCTTACCTGCAATCTGAACCAGTCCAGCCTCATGCCCCTGAAATCAAATACGTCCCCGTCTTCCACTGTAACACCGACAGAGACAATTCACTCAGATATGGGATCACCATGACACAGGAGGACACATGAGGGAGGGAAGCGGGCGGAGAGGTGGAGAGCAGCTCAGGCTCCTACTCTGCTCACCATTTGCCCTCCCTCCTTTCATCTGTCCATCACTCAGCCATTACCAAAACAACACCTGTCTACACTGACAAAGGCTTTTAGTGCTTTAAGGCTAATATGGCTAGATAAAAACAACTAAGCATGATTAATTAGACATTTCCTAAACTGGAATATTTACTGTAACGCAACAGAATGGATTGAACTGTGTTATAGGTCGGGTCAACATAAAAACAACTACGGTAAGCATTGCTCAATACAAGTAGAGGTTTTCTAAACTGGAACATGTACAGCAAAAAGATGGAATGAACTCTCTTTTAGGTTGGATCAACAACATGAGTCTAAATGAGAAACGTTTAATTTTTATGGTATTTCTGTAATATGAGTGGCAGGCCGGGTTAGGTTGAATACCTTGTTTGACGCTGAGGGACGTCATGGTGTTGACGAAGGAGGACATGATGATGGACTCATCCTCAGGACAGACGGACAGATTCTAGAGGAGATGAGTGCCTCAGTTAGACACTGTTTACAGTAGGCTGCTGTGAGGGGATCAACTGAGCAAATACAAGAGGGTTTTACATTGCATTTCAGAGAGTGAGATGTGGCCAAGCAAAGAATAACGTCAACAAAATACTTGGTCTCCATCTAGTGGTCAGCTCTGCTTTTTTCCCTTCAAAATATAAACCTGCATATGGGTCTTTCTATAAATAAACGGGCCAATGTGTGACATCAGGGTCCAAATCTCTAAATGGTTTGATATACATTTAAATATGATTTTCAAGGCAGCTTCACATGTGTAGTCAGAGGAATACAAGTCTAGGTAGGCACAATGAGACCATAACTCTACCTAGCCACAACAAAACATCTACATGGCATTCAAAATGTCACAAGAAACAGGACACTGCATGTTTCTTTGTCATGCCTAGTTGCCAGGTATTTTTTGTGCTTTAGTCAATTTTAGCCATGCTAAACATTCCTGAAGAATGAAAAATATTACCTACAGCATTTCTATATGTTTTAATAGGTGATATAATAATTTAATACAATAATATAATACAATGGGTTCTGTCAACAAAATCATTGACAATAATAATAACCAATAATTAAATCATTATAATCAGTAAACTCTTCAAACATTGTGTGTGTGTGAGTCTGTGTCTGAAAACTAGCAGTCAAATTCTTGCTTCCTCTGTCCTTGTTTCCTCCACTCCTTGCCTCTCATTGAAAGTGCATTGTAGCCTGAGGGGAGTAACCTTCACTCCTCTCCCCCAATGTGCTTTAAGAGGGAGGTGAGGAATAGGGGAAACAATGGGAGAATCTCAATTGCATTTCCTTGATTCCTCACATCCTGTCTCCTCGCCTCCTTCTCAAAACCCATTGGATAAGAAGGTGACAGGGGAAGGACCTCTGACATTCTCAAGGACCTCTGACATTCTCATCCAATGGGTTTTAAGAAGGAGACGAGGAGAGGATGCGACAAATCAAGGAAATGCAATTGAGATTCTCCCAAGGACAGAGGAATCAAGTATTTGAAAGCTATTAAAGCCCACATGCAGTCTTTGTAATTTTATTTTTAAATCATCACTGTATATCTAATAAATCACTGTGTGTGTTTATTTAATTAAAATAACTCCGAAATACAGTGCCTTCGGAAAGTATTCAGACCCTTCGACTTTTTCCACATTTTGTTACATTACAGACTTGTTCTAAAATGGATTAAATATATATACATTTTTTAGCAATCTACACACGATACCCCATAATGACAAAGCGAAAACAGGTTTTTAGAAATGTTAGCAAATTTATTAAAAATAAAAAACAGAAATACCTTATTTACATAAATATTCAGACCCTTTGCTATGAGACTCGAAATTGAGCTCAGGTGCATCCTGTTTCCATTGATCATCCTTGAGCTGTTTCTACAACTTGATTGGAGTCCACCTGTGGTAAATTCAATTGATTGGACATGATTTGGAAAGGCACATACCTGTCTATATAAGGTCCCACAGTTGACAGTGCATCCCAGAGCAAAAACCAAGCCGTGAGGTCGAAGGAATTGTCAATAGAGCTCAGAGACAGGATTGTGTCGAGGGACAGATCTGGGGAAGGGTACCAAAAAATGTCTGCTGTATTGAAGGTCCCCAAGAACACAGTGGCCTCCATCATTCTTAAATGGAAGAAGTTTGGAACCACCAAGACTCTTCCTAGAGCTGGCCGCCTGTTTAAACTGAGCAATCGAGGGAGAAGGGCCTTGGTCAGGGACCGATGGTCACTCTCACAGAGCTCTAGAGTTCCTCTGTGGAGATGGGAGAACCTTCCAGAAGGACAACCATCTCTGCAGCACTCCACCAATTAGGCCTTTATGGTAGAGTGGCCAGACGGAAGCCACTCCTCAATAAAAGGCACATGACAGCCCGCTTGGAGTTTGGCAAAAGGCACCTAAAGACTCTCAGACCATGAGAAACAAGATTATTTGGTCTGATGAAACCAAGATTTAACTCTTTGCCCTGAATGCCAAGTGTCATGTCTGGAGGAAACCTGGCACCATCCCTACGGTGAAGCATTGTGGTGGCAGCATCATGTTGTGGGGATGTTTTTCAGTGGCAGGGACTGTGAGACTAGTCAGGATCGAAGCAAAGATGAACGAAGCAAAGTACAGAGAGATCCTTGATGAAAACCTGCTCCAGAGCGCTCAGGACCTCAGACTGGGGCGAAGGTTCACCTTCCAACAGGACAACGACCCTAAGCACACAGCCAAGACAACGCAGGAGTGGCTTCGGGACAAGTCTCTGAATGTCCTTGAGTGGCCCAGCCAGAGATCGGACTTGAACCCGATCGAACATCTCTGGAGACCTGAAAATAGCTGTGCAGCAACGCTCCCCATCCAACCTGACAGAGCTTGAGATGATCTGCAGAGAAGAATGGTAGAAACTCCCCAAATACAGGTGTGCCAAGTTTGTAGCGTCTTACCCAAGAAGACTCTAGGCTTTAATCGCTGCCAACGGTGCTTCAACAAAGTACTGAGTAAAGGGTCTGAATACTTATGTAAATGTAATATTTCAGTTTTTTATTTTTAATAAATTAGCAAACATTTCTAAAAGCCAGTTTTTGCTTTTTCATTATGGGGTATTGTGTGTAGATTGATGAGGGGAAAAAACTATCGAATCAATTTTAGAATAAGGCTGTAACGTAACAAAATGTGGAAAAAGTCAAGGGGTCTGAATACTTTCCGAAGGCACATTGTTTAGCATTTATTTCCCTGAGCCTCCTTTGGTCCTTGAAATGCTCAGTCTGATCGTGCGGGCGTTAGGAAACAAATTTGAAGATATTTACGTGCACAGCTCAGATCTGCTGATAGGATGGTCTAGAGCCCACCCCTTTACCCAGATGAACGGTCATTGGTCTATTATAATCAGATCAAATTGTGACATCATGATGTGGGCCAAAGGTTCCATCCCACCTGAACAGGTTGAAATTCCAGTTTTTTTTTCTCCAAACAGCTCTTACACAAAAAGGGCATTATCATAACTTTCACAATTACAGAGTGTTATTTCGACCTCATAGTAGGGCCGGGACTACACCAGTATCTCAATTCAAGTTTTTAACTGCACTGCCCCTTTAACATTTTTAGACAGTGCCAGACTGACTGACTGCGCTACCAAAATACCCATGACCTGTCCAGAAACAACCCCTAGCCCCTACTGCCCAGAGTCTACACATTTGTGGAGATCTGAAAGGGATTGATGGGTGGTGACATGGTGAGAGCTCCACCTTACCCTCTGAAAGGCTTGGTGGATTTTGGCAGTATTGCTTACACCTGTCCAATCCTCTCAGATCTCCACAAGTGTCTAGGGGTAGGGGCAAGGGGTTGCTTCTGGACAGGACCCCACAACCCTCCAGGTGTGTGGTGAACCTACAGCACGACTCGAGGCATTGGTTGGATGTTTCATTTCCTTTGCTATACACACATGGATTTGCACAGGTGTAAGCTGGACACACCCACGGCACCCTATCAGGCTGATCAGACAGCTCTGGGTAGCTGAATACCTGCTGTAAACAGTGAAAGGATATATTTACATGTCTACTATTCACATCCTTGTTTCATTCCAGCTAGTTAGATGTGCAACCACTGACTAACTATAGCTAGGGGAATATCTCTAGTCTAGCAATATATAATGTTGTTTTGGCTGTATGGCATCATTTAATAAGATTACCAATGGATAGTTAGGTAGCTAGGATATATCAGTCAGCTAACCATTTACAGTAACAGCAGTTAATTAATAAGTCAATACACATTAAATCTTATGCAGAAATTGAGAAATCTTACTTTATCTTGGCACGGTATAGGCAGCTATTAATCAATTAATTAATTAATAATATATTCATAGATTCATAGAATGGAGTTAGAAGGGCGAACTCCTACTTTGAAAGGACAGGAAATGTTGGCTTTGCACTTAATCAATGACAGGCATTCAACATTTAACCCCACCCACACGTGAAAATCGAAATATCAAGTTGTTTTTTGGTTTTATATGCAAAAAACGAAAAACTTTTTTTTCTATTTCTATTAAAAAACTAATAAATACGCAATTTTCACCCTCCAGATTGCTCCATTTTAACTTGGAAAACAAACAATCAAAACGTACACAGAACGTAATCTTACCTCAGGAATGTAACTACAACCGCAACATTTCGCTTCACCCGCAATAACATCTGCTAAATATGTGTATGTGACCAATAACATTTGATTTGATCTTGCCAATGTTGTCCACGACATAGGCTAATTATCTTGACCGCCGTAACAGTATAGACACCAAAATGTTCTGTCAATTCTCCAGATCAACATTTATTCCCGCACTTTGGCTGTTGTTCAATCGCCTGCAGTATCACACCCGATCTTTATCACTTGACTTTCATTCAGAAAAACCTTTCCTGAATCAGCTGATGTTGTGCGATAATTTCCCTATGTAACTAAACAGCTAGACATTAAAAATACACATCAAACAACTATTATGCATAATTATTTAAGAACCCCGTTAATGACAGTGTCGATTTTATTTGATTCATCTTGTTGAAGTTACTCTTTCTGTTAGAAGCATTCGATTTTACAATCCATACATTATTTTGTATATGTGTGCCCGTGAAAACTGTTTTCACACCTCAACATAGGGAGATACGAAATGTTACGAGGTTACAGTGCACTTCCAAGATCTCCATACAAAAAACAGTCCGACAGCAATATCCAGGAATTTTACAGGATGAAGTTCAATGTGTAATTCAATTGTTAAATGCTTAGTAAATGATAAAACGACAAACAGCAGTTTCATAAAGAAAGAAAGGTAGTGTTTTATGTCACACAATATTTGCCAAATCTGTGAAGACTCCAAGCATGAGAAAGAGTTTAAACATAGGTTTTGATTCAACTCATGAATTATATTGAATGTATCCATGTTCCCCCTTTATATGTTAATGTATTCATGTGAAAAAATAGGCAAATTATTATTAATGACTTTGTAACAGCTCCAAACAGTTGTCCACTACAAGAAATGCTCACTGGTACCCTAGTTTATAGAAATACCCATATAACAGAATACTCCATCACCAGTCATACACTATATAATAAATACTAGGATATTATGAAACCAAAGGGAGAACATTGACAATTAGTACGTCCGAAACTGCACCCTATTCCCTATATAGGTAAACTATTTTTGACCAGAGCTCTAGGAGCCATGGTCCAAAGTAGTGCAATATACTGTATATAGGGAATAGGGTGCCATTTGGGACGCAAGCCAGAGCAGTCTCACCTGTACTAGCTCGTTGAGCACCACGGCGTCAAAGCCAGACAGGTACTGGACGTAGTATCTCTGCATGACAGGACCATACTTCCTCACGTGGGCCCTCAGTTCCTCCATGTAAAAGATCAGCTCTGCAATGTGCCTGAGGACATAGAATAGCAAGAGTTATCTAAGAGAATAGACATACACTTCATTAGTATGCTCAATACTCCTTCACACCATGGCATTCCTTAAAGGGTCATTTTACAAAAACAATTTTTTTACTTTCTCTGCTTTTGATACAGTCCCACAAAACTGTGCATGCCAACATTCAAGTTAAGACACATCACTTTCAGTCTCCTAATGGCCAAAATCAAGCAAGAGTAAAACGTGTCATGAAGATGCATTTTGACACAGACTTTTCAAGGAGGCAAACACAGGGCCACTACATTACCTGAGGGGTAAAGGGAAATCCCATAGTTACAAGCTGAGTCAGTAGGATGTGTCTTACTTGTCAATAAAGTCATCTGTGCTCTTCTTCTGGATGTTGTCTGCATGTCGTAGCAGCCAAATGATCTCATCCCGAGCGAACGACAGAGCCATGAACACGAACAGGGCCTATGAAGAGGACAGGAGTCATGTTATATAGTTACTTTCACCCATCAATTAGTCACATCTTTCAGGATTTGAATCCTTATTCTCTGATCACTTTAGAGTTAGTCCAACGAGCATTATCATGTTAACAAAACTAGAGTGCACATAGTGTTAGTCCAACTCAACTAGAAAATATTAGGATATAAAGAAATATGTAATATTGTCACATTCACCGGATAGGTGCAGTGAAATATGTTGTTTTACAGGGTCAGCCATAGTAGTACGGCGCCCTTGGAGCAAATTAGGATTAAGGGCACATCGACAGATTTTTCACCTTGTCGGCTCGGGTATTCAAACCAGCAACCTTTCGGTTACTGGCCCAACGCGCTAACCACGAGGCTACCTGCTGCCCTAGAGAGCAGCAGTGCAGTAGTGTTATTATGATGTAACATTATCATGTTAAGACAAGTAGACAGCTGTGGTGTTAGTCTATCGCAGGGGTCTCCAACCTTTTCTAGCATGACAGCTACTTTTAAAAAATGAAATATGTCACAAGCTACTCATTTTTTTCTAGCTTTCAAATAGGCACATTCTTCTCTTCTCCTCTCCCCTGTAACTCTTACCCGGGTCCTTAGTGTACAAGAGAAAGTAGTGCACTATGTTTTCTGTCAATATATTTGGTAAAATAATCATTAATAAACAACTCTAAAATCTGTATTATTTTTAACCAAATTATGTTATATATTTTCCCAAATTATGTTTTCTCAGTTTAATTTTTCCTGGTTTTAGATTATTCCTTTTTTTCACTCTCAAAATTACAATTGTTCATAGAGAAACAACTAAATTGGATGTTCTGAGTCCATGTCAATGCTCAAATCATATCTGAATAAAACATTTTTTAGATCTGGATTTTTGTGTAATTCCCCTTTAATTGCGCATCTGGCCCTTTAATTGCGAATCTATTGAGTGAGGAGTGCCATCTACTGATAGTTCTGCAAAGTTAGCAAATAACAAATAATAGATACAAATGATATACTTACTTATGATATACCTCTGCCAGGTAAGCCTACTTTGCAGTTAACATTTAACTGAGAAGGTTTTGGGGAAAGTATTTGTCAACCCACAAGACGGTTATCACATCAACTGGCTGCACACAGAGTGATAGACTAACGTGCGCACCACACAGACAGGGGCAATATTGCTGGAAATTAATTGGCAGATATTGTGTTAGGTTTGGCTTTTTAAGCCAATAGGGGCTAACCAGGGGTGGGATAATGTGAATGATGCATTGATTAGATAGTAGCTGGGAGCTTGCAGTGTCTGATATGTTTATGACAATTTGCGGTGGAACACGTGAAAATTGCATCTATTTTCTGAATTGTTTGGCGAGTTACTCATAGGTGGACCTGTTGGAGACACCTGGTCTGATGTAACATTATCATGTTAACACAACTAGAGAGCAGTAGTGTGGTACCTTAGGGCTCAGTAATCTAGACTGTGTTAGTCCAACTCACATTAACATATTAACACAACTAGAGAGCAGTAGTGCAGTGGTGTTAGTGTAACACACGGGATATGAACTCAGATCTCCCACCGGAGCAACCAACGTCTTAGACCATTAGACCAAGAGGAAAATCCCTCTTACTCCGAGGGCAGACACTTGTTTTGAAGTTCGCAGGCGGGGCTATGAGCAACCATGCTCAACTCATGTCCGCTACATTAGTCTGGTGTAACACTATCATGTTAACACAACTAGAGAGCAGTCGTGCAGCAGGGCAGGTGAAGAGCCGTCGTTAAGTGGCAACACTCCTAGCAGGAGTCACACATACAAATCTCCCCACTTGAGACTGGATTCAATCTCTGTGTCCACCCTTCCCACTGTTTCTCCCACCTGCCGTATCCCCTTCTGATTTCCATACTGTCTAAATAAAAGTGTCAAAATACCAAAATAGAGCACTAGTGCAGTACCTTAGGCCCCAGTAATCCTGGCTGGTCAGATAGGACTGTGGCCAGCTCCTTCAGGGCAGATCTCAGGAACTTGCGTCTTTCTCTGTGCATCAAGCCTCTGTAACAAAACAAAAACAATCGCCAACAATTTAATTCGGAGAGGATACTGTGTCAGATACCATTAAAAACCTCTTGGTGCAATAAGATGCATTTATGAGGCACTTACGCATGTGACAGAGCTTGTTCTTTGCACTCTTTGATGTCATTCACACGCTTGTTGTAGCTATGAAATGAAAAGGGAGAATAGTTAACATACTTACTCACACACACACTTAACAGATGTCTGGGAATATTCTCAAGCTGTACCCATTGAGCATGCTTTTCAGTCCAGGACTAAGCTTAATCTGGGTTCAGGAAACCAGCCCGTAAAGTTAGTGTCCCTCACCCGCGGATGTTGATGAAGAGGTCCTCAGCAGCCTTATGGATGTGGAACACCTCGTCTCTGAAGAGACAGAGGCAGGTGCTGCTCTGAAGAGCCAGCTTCCACAGGCTCAGAGCTGCCTGATCACTATTCAGGACCCCGTGGCATAAGATGAAGCCAACTGACAATCAAACACAAGGACAGAGAGAAAGTTAGAGGCACAGAAATACAATTTTGAACAGTATTTGTGGGGAATGAGAATATTTCGAATTATTAATATTTTTACCCGTTTTTTGTATGACATCACATTTCATGTATGTTTTTAATAATAAGCCTGTACCTGAACAATGAACTACAATTAAAAACGATCACGCTCCCCCTTCCCTCCAATGGTATAAACCTATCAAATCAATTAGATCAGACTGTACTCTATGCACACTTACATACTATCCACTTCTCCATGGCGTCCAGGGACAAGTATTCACAGGGCATCTAGAACAATGAGAATCATAGGTAAATGCACATGCCTGTGAGCAGGAAACGGTGTGATTTCAGAGATTTATATTGATGGTACTGTGTGTCTCAAGTATGGCACTAGCAACACCATAGTCATGGGTTCAACTCCTGCAGGGATCACATTACTGTACACACCCACTGTACTGTACATGCCCCTTTGGATCAAAACTGTATTATATATTGGGTTCTCACTGTGTCTGACTGGGCTGGGTTGAGCATGGTGCTGGGGGCACTGATGAGACTGAGTAGCTGTGCATTCCTCCACTGGTCAGCAGACAGATTTCTCCTGGGGTACACCATCTGGAGGGAGAGCAGGGCGTCTGACAACGACTACAGGGGAGGGAGGAGTGAGAGGGGAGGGAGGAGAGAGAGAGAGAGAAGGGGAGGAGAGAGAGAGAGGGGGAGGAGAGAGAGAGATATATTGGTTTATGACAGTTAATAATAACTTTCATGAACAAGCATTAATCAACTATATATACATTTATAAAACCGTATAAGCAATAAAAGCATTCATAATCATGGCTTAAGCATCAAAGTTATTATAAAGTGTAACCGAAAGTTATATTATAAAGTGTAACCAAAACATGTATTATCATTGTCAGTGCTCAGGACAAGAACATAACATGTTGAGATACAGGTGACACTTTATATTCACCTTCCCATGGGGAACAAACTCCTCCATCATCTTTTTCAGCGGGTTCTCGTAGTCGACAATCATCTGTCCCAGCCTAGGGTACTCTCGATCACTAGATGAAAATAAATAAAAAAGAATACAGATGTTGTTGACATTGGTAGTTCTCAGGTGTATCTAAGCTAGGTCTGTAACTACCATACAATATTTTAAGAATGCATTTTTCATATATTACTATGTGATTTGAATATAAGGCCACTGTCAATTGGTATAACAGTAAGTTAAAATTGTGTTAAAGTATGATCTTAATATTATTTACAGCGATGGTGCAAATGGAGATTGAACGTTTCAGAGATGAACCGGAGCAAGGATATAGACCGGAAGAGCCACCACCCTACATACCTTGATCCATGTGTCATTTCATGGGCGTAGTTGTAGAGGCCAATGATAGCTTTCCTCTCTTCAATCCGAGACAGTAGCATCATTAGGTTAGTGTAGGTCACTACTAAGTCAAGGTAGTTCTTGGTCAGGTCAAAGTTTACAGTCTGTAAAATGAGATGTGGGAAGAAAATTAGAATCTACATCCAGACTATTAAATCTGATCCTAAAAACATGTAATCTACAGTGCCTTCAGAAAGTATTCACACGTCTTGACTTTTTCCACATTTTGTTGTGTTACACCTGAATTTAAAATTGATTAAATTGAGATTTTTTGTCTCTGGCCTACACACAATACCCCATAATATCAAAGTGGAATTATGTTTCAGAAATGTGTACAAATTAATTAAAAATGAAAAGCTGAAATGTCTTGAGTCAATAAGTATTCAACCCCTTTGTTATGACAAGCCGGAGTAAAAATGTGCTTAACAAGTCACATAATAAGTTGCATGGACAAACTCTGTGTGCAATAATAGTGTTTAACATGACTACCTCATCTCTGTACCCCACACATACAATCATCTGTAAGGCCCCTCAGTCGAGCAGTGAATTCCAAACACAGATTAAACCACAAAGACCAGGTAGGTTTTACAATGCCTCGCAAAGAAGGGCACCTATTTGTTGATGGGTAAAAAAAAAAAAAAAAAAAGCAGACATTGAATATCCCTTTGAGCATGGTGAAGTTATTAATTACACTTTGGATGGTGTATCAATACACCCAGTCACTATAAAGATACAGGCGTCCTTCCTAACTCAGTTGCCGGAGAGGAAGGAAACCACTAAGGGATTTCACCATGAGGCCAATGGTGGCTTTAAAACAGTTACAGAGTTTAATGGCTGTGATAGGAGAAAACTGAGGATGGATCAACAACATTATAGTTACTCCACAATCCTAAGCTAATTGACAGAGTGAAAAGAAAGAAGTCTGTACAGCATAAAACATATTCCAAAACATGCCTTCTGTTTGCAACAAGGCACTAAAGTAATACAGATTTTTTTTGCCAAAGCAATTAACTTTTGGTCCTGAATACAAAGTGTTATGTTCGGGGCAAATCCAATACAACACATTACGGAGTTCCACTCTACATATTTTTAAGCATAGTGGTGGCTGCATGATGTTATGGGTATGCTTGTAATCGTTAAGGACTGGGGAATTTTTCAGGAATAAAATGAAATGGAATGTAGCTAAGCACAGGCAAATTCCTAGAGGAAAACCTGGTTCAGTCTGCTTTGCACTAGACACTGGGAGATGAATTCACCTTTCAGCAGGACAATAACCTAAAACACAAGGCCAAATCTACACTAGAGTTGCTTACCAAGAAGACAGTGAATGTTCCTGAGTGGACGAGTTACAGTTTTGATTTAAATCTACTTGAAAATCTATGTCTAGACCTGAAAATGGTTGTCTAGCAATGATCAACAACCAATTTGACAGAGCTTGAAGAATTTTGAAAAGAATAATGGGCAAATGTTACACAATCCAGGTGTGGAAAGCTCTTAGAGACTTAAACAGAAAGACAAAGCTGTAATCGCTGCCAAAGGTGCTTCTACAAAGTATTGACTCAGGGGTGTGAATACTTATGTAAATGAGATATTTCTGTATTTCATTATCAATAAATTTGCTAAAATTTCTAAAAACATGTTTTCACTTTGTCATTATAGGGTATTGTGTGTAGACTGTAAAATAAATAAATGTAATCAATTTTGAATCCAGGCTGTAACAACAAAATGTGGAATAAGTAAACTGGTATGAATACTTTCTGAAGGAAAGAGTTCAGGTGGGCCTTCACACTTCAGCAAACAAAGGAAAGGAGGGGTGCTCAACAACAACAACAAAAATCATGAGAATGGCTTACCAACAAAAACCTCCAAAAGGACTAATTCTACTTCCGGAAGGCACTGTATGAGATATCATCTTTGAAGTGAAAAAAGCATCCTGTAATTACATGCTATGTACAGATCAATGTGCCTTATAACTTACAATATCAAAGAAGACTTGGCAAGCATCGATAGTGTTCAGCAGCTCACAGACATGGTCCTGGAAGGAGAGAAAGACATTAGATGTATGTACATTTCACAGTATAGTAAGTTGATGATAAGTAACTATTATTTGTGATGGATTATCATTACACATGTACAGTATATAGAGTACTGTAAATTGGTATCAAGACAGTCCTAACATGCTCCTGCTTATTTGACAATGAATCTTAAGAACCTTCTCTTTTTTCACTACTTTGAATGATGCTTAGTTCCACATACCTTAAATTCCATCACATCTACGAATGTGAAGTAATACAATGCTAAATTCTTAAGGATTTCAGACTTCTCTTTTTGTAGTTGTGCAAGCTGTTGCTGTAGAAGTAAAGAAAAAACATTTTGTTTTTATACTCAAGTTAAACTTTACAGGACACACAAAGCTTCATGGTATGGATAATGAATGATGAGCACAGTAAAATAAGCTGATGGAATCTGGTAGAAGGGTGGTAACATTGTATACTTCATCATGAATTTGTTCCCATTGCCATCTGTGCTTGGTAGTGCATATTTTCTCCGGATAGTGTAAGTGGTCTCAATCTGTTAACATCCCTAGATATCCTGAGAAATACTACTAAGGATATCACACAATGGGTCAGGGTGACATTTGAACAACTCAAAAAGGTAGAGCTCTAAGCAAAAATAACTTTATCATTCCAAAATACTCATGTTGCTTTCGATAACATCTCCGCATTTTAGCACTGTCACAATGGCACCTTTATTTAGCCAATGATAGCCTCTCACAAGCCAAATGTGAAGTCATGTTGGCTGGATTGTTATCTTTGGTGTGCGTCCCAATTGGCACCCTATTCCTTATGTAGTGTGTTTCTTTTGACCAGGGCCAATAGGGCTCTAGTTAAAAGTACTGCACTATATTGAGAATAGGGTGCCATTTGTTAGACAGCCCTGGTCTCTTTTCTCTACAACAGAAATGTTACTTATTCTATTTTTCAAACAAAAACCTAACAAAATGTTCCCTAACAGTTAACTGTTACCTAGCAGTATCGAAAAACTTGAATGATCTTGAGGTGTGAAAGATGATAAAAAATATGAATCATTAGCAATATTACTTAAACAAGAATCTGCTACACTGACAATAAGAGAACATGCAAAATATAGAAAAACGACAGAGGCTGCGGATCTGACTTTTCTGGACCCTTCTTCCCGAAGCTTCTGCGCATGTGCAGGATTCTCTACTTTACGCACAGTCTCTGCTCTCCTCGTAGAGAACCTCCTTTCACATTTCTACTGTCAGTTATGAATGATAATTCTTCAAGATTTACCGGTAAAACGTCCACGCAGCATCTGAATACCAACCATTTGATCTCAGTTTCATGGGGATATGCATTTAGATCTTCTTGAGATATAGTGTTGTTTCGAAGTAGCCTACAGTGTTGTTTTGAATTACAGTGCATCAGGAAATATTCAGCCAACTTCACTTTTTCCACATTTTGTTACGTTACATCCTTATTCTAAAATTGATTAAATTAATTTCCCCCCTCATCAATCTACACACAATACCCCATAATGACAGTTTTTATTTTATTTACATAAGTATTCAGACCCTTTGCTATGAGAATCGAAATTGAGCTCAGGTGCATCCTGTTTCCATTGATCATCCTTGAGATGTTTCTACAACTTGATTGGAGTCCACCTGTGGTAAATTCAATTGATTGGACATGATTTGTAAAGGCACACACCTGTCTATATAAGGTCCCGCAGTTGACAGTGCATGTCAGAGCAAAAACCAAGCCATGAGGTCGAAGGAATTGTCAGTAGAGCTCAGAGACAGGATTGTGTCGAGGCACAGATCTGGGGAAGGGTACCAAAACATTTCTGCAGCATTGAAGGTCCCCAAGAACACAGTGGCCTCCATCAAGTTTGGAACCACCAAGACTCTTCCTAGAGCTGGCCACCCGGCCAAACTGAGCAATCGGGGAGAAGGGCCTTGGTCAGGGAGGTGACCAAGAACCCGATGGTCACTCTGACAGACCTCCAGAGTTCCTCTGTGGAGATTGGAGAACCTTCCAGAAGGACAACCATCTCTGCAGTACTCCACCAATCAGGCCTTTATGGTAGAATGGCCCGACGGAAGCCACTCCTCAGTGAAAGGCACATGACAGCCTGCTTGGAGTTTGCCAAAAGGCACCTAAAGGACTCTCAGACCATGAGAATCCAAGTGAATGCCAAGCGTCACGTCTGGAAGAAACCATGCACCATCCCTATGGTGAAGCATGGTGGTGGCAGCATCATGCTGTGCGGATGTTTTTCAGCGGCAGGGACTGGGAGACTAGTCAGGATCGAGGGAAAGATGAACGGAGCAAAGTACAGAGAGATCCTTGATGAAAAACTGCTCCAGAGTGCTCAGGACCTCAGACTGGGGTGAAGGTTCACCTTCCAACAGGACAACGACCCTAAGCACACAGCCAAGACAACGCAGGAGTGGCTTTGGGACAAGTCTCTGAATGTCCTTGAGTGGCCCAGCCAGAGCCCGGACTTGAACCCGATCGAACATCTCTGGAGAGACCTGAAAATAGCTGTGCAGCGATGCTACCCATCAAACCTGACAGAGCTTGAGAGGATCTGCAGAGAAGAATGGGAGCAACTCCCCAAATACAGGTGTGCCAAGCTTGTAGCATCATGCCCAATAAGACTTGAGGCTGTAATCGCTGCCAAAGGTGCTTTAACAAAGTCTGAATACTTATTTTTTTTATAAATTAGCAAACATTTCTAAAAACCTGTTTTTGCGTTGTCATTATGGGGTATTGTGTATAGATTGATGAGGAAAAAAACAATTTAATACATTTGAGAATAAGGATGTAACGTAACAAAATGTGGAAAAAGTGAAAGGGTCTGAATACTTTCTGAATGCACTGTATGTATAGTGAGCGAATTTGATAGCAGATGGTGTTAACACATTGTAGCATAGCCTACCTGTGTTTAGTTTCAATCAAAACACATATTTTGCCTAGTGGCACGCGCTGTTGAATTTTGGCCACATGAGAGGAAACTGCAACCATTCGCTCAATCATCCTAAAATCTCATAAGAAATTAGGTGGTGTTTTTGTCTTACAGTAACGTTATACTATGCTATTATAGTCGGTTTTGTTATGTAGAATACTATCATTATGTGTTTTTGCAGACATTGATTAAACTTTGATCTAACTTTATTAAACGAGCACCATTCACCACAGTAGCCTGTTCTCTAGGAGTAGAGCAGTAGAGGATCCTGCACATGCGCAGAAGCTTCGGGACCTTTAGCTGTTGAGAAATAAGGTCCAGAAAAGTGGGATCTGCAGCCACTCCTTAGAAAAAACAAGAACTATGAGGAGCTTCAACTTACCAAAAGAATATTCCAGAAAAAAGCCAAGAAGTTTAGCATGCAAAAGAAAAACACAGACCAAGTAAAACATAAAACCCAGCAGCAAAAAGTACAACAACATAGCAAAACACATCACAGCTACACCAAAGAAGCAGTTTAACATTTCTAACAAAATACAAAGCCAGCCAATGGTGATATAATGTATTAGTTGTATTGAAAAAATGTTAGCTATAAAGATAGAATTAGCATACATAACATAACATTTATGAAAATGTACATGTGGGTGGTACATCAATAGTGAAAAGATAGGATGATGAATCTCAGATAGAATTTCATTTACAATTCCTACTTGATCTAAACAATGCTATCTTTAAAGTATGACTAAACACAACATTTATTGCACAGACCTAGTAGTGCAATAGAGAAAGGACTGCATATAGATACCAAGCCTTAAAATTAGCTTAAATATAATGTAATATACATGCAAATAACAGACTTACATTGTTGTTGCGTGTTTCAACTGCTGGGAATTTTCTGACAATGAACTTGACAGCGGACTCCAGGTTCTTGTCTATTAGATAGGATGGTTTGGCTTTGGGGTCACCACAAGCCTATAATGAAGAGGGCCAAAAACACAGACAAATGCTAAAGATGCATCAACAATAATACTAACAACATATCAACAACAAAACAAAACATTGGCAGAAGTGCTAGGATGATAAGGTAAATTAAGAAAGTTGGAATACACTGAGCGAGAGTGTGTGAGAGAGAGCAAGCGAGAGAGCGAGCAAGACACAGAGATACAGAGACAGAGAGATATTGAGAGCGAGAGATTGAGAGAATGTGTGTGAGAGAGAATACATTTCTACTGACAGAGTGGTGTATGGGAGATTGGAGAGCAGTTAGTGAGAAAGCAGTGCATAGACATACTCCTACTGTGAGAAAAGATAGTTGAACTGTGTGTTACATTTTAGATGTTAGAAGCAACAAAAATTTTGCAGATGTATGTTTGAGGTAGGGTGGTGTATGGTATATGACACTGGGCATGCACGTCAGCCTGACAAAACAGGAATAGTAATGTTTTAGTATTCAGTCTATAACACAAGAGTTGAGGTTCGCAATACACTCAAATGAACACAGTACAGCCGACAGACATGTAGATAAATAATATGAGCTTGATAGAGAACAGTGAGAACAGTTATAAATGTTCAAATCCCCATATGATCAAGACTGGATTCAAGATTAGTGATACAATGCCATGGATCCATGCAGAGAACACTTTCATTTTGCAGAGGAGAGCAGAGCTGTGTTGAATTGCAAAATGAAGTGTCTGTGAATTCAACCAGGCCCTATGTCTTCCCATTGCCTGATCTTCAATCCCTAAAAATACAAACATTTTGTTTTGTGGTGCAAATGTCCTGGAACTGTGAAACTGTTAATTTGATGCTCACAAACCAAAAGAAGACCATGGTTTAAGCTTTAATGTATTCTGATCTAATTGTTGGACTATAGCTGCTCACCGCTTTTCATAACAAGCTAGATACAGTATTTGCAACTGTTAGATATCATGTAAGAAATAAACTGGGGAAAAATGCACACTAGCAAATATGATATCTATTTTGACTTAATGAAATAATCAGAGATTCAATTGCAATTTGGGATGGGCCTGTTTGTTGAATTGTGAACGTTGTTAGTACTGAGAAGCATACAAGTAATTCTGGGACATGATACTGGTAGGAAAGCAGGGAAGGGTAGAGGGAGGGGGAGAGATTTAGGGAAGAGCAAACCTTCCAAACTTGTCCTTGCTGAGGGAAGCATTGTGATAGAAGAGAGAAAACCACACAGGTAAACACAGGTAAAGTCAGGTAAACACAGGTAAACACAGGTAAAGTCAGGTTTAAAACATAGAACCATGCATCTACATGAAAAAGGCTTTAGGTTTTACTTCTGGGATAGTTTGTTGAGGAATGTACTGCTTGTCAAAGCATTGTTCAACAACTAGCTCAGCCCATGGTGGAGACACTCCTCCTAGAGTAGTAACACTGTCACGCCCTGACTCAGGGGACGCTTAAATGTTGAGTCAGGGTGTGTATATTCTTTGTTGTGCGTTTTCTATGTTTGTGTTCTAGTATGTATAGTTCTATGTTGGCCGGTGTGGTTCCCAATCAGAGGCAGCTGTCGCTCGTTGTCTCTGATTGGGGACCATACTTAAGCATCCGATTGGCACTGTCTAGTTGTGGGATCTTGTTCTGGTTAAGGTATGCTACCTTGGACTTCACGTTTCGTTTCGTTTCTTGTTTTGTCAAGTGTTTATTCAGTGTAAATAAACATGTACAGAGTTTTGTGTTTATAATTTAATAAACATGTACGTATATCACGCTGCGCCTTGGTCTGACCCGTCATTAGACGAACGTGACAAACACTGTAGAGTATTAAGGCTTTAAGTTTAAGAGAGGATATACAGTGAGCTCCAAAAGTATTGTGACAGTGACAATTTTATTTTGTACTCCAGCAATTTGGATTTGAAATGATACAATGACTATGAGGTTAAATTGCAGACTGTCAGCTTTAATTTGAGAGTATTTATACTGAACAAAAATATAAACGCAACATGTAAAGTGTTGGTCCCATGTTTCATGAGCTGAAAAAAAAATCCCAGAAATGTTCCATATGCACAGAAAGCTTATTTCTCTCAAATGTTGTGCACAAATTTGTTTACATCCCTGTTAGTGAGCATTTCTACTTTTCCATCCACCTGACAGGTGTGGCATATCAAGAAGCTGATTAAACAGCATGTTCACCAGAGCTGTTGCCAGATTTGACTGTTCAATTCTCTACCATAAGCCGCCTCCAATGTCATTTTAGAGAATTTGGCAGTGCGTCCAACCGGCCTCACAACTGCAGACCATGTGTAACCACGCCAGCCCAGGACCTCCACATCCAGCTTCTTCACCTGTGGGATCGTCTGAGACCAGCCACCCAGATAGCTGATGAAACTGTGGAGCATTTCTGTCTGTAATAAAGCCCTTTTGTGGGGAAAAACTCATTCTGATTGGCTGGGATGGCTCCCCAGTGGGTAGGCCTGGCTCCAAAGCCTATGCCCTCCCAGGCCCACCCATGGCTGCACCTCTGCCCAGTCATGTGAAATATGTAGATTAGGGCCTAATGAATTTATTTCAATTGACTGATTTCCTTACATGAACTTTAAAGCAGTAAAATCATTGAAAATGTTGCATGTTACGTTTATATTTTTGTTCAGTATAAATCCATATCGAGAAATTACAGCACTTTTTGTACATACTCCCCCATTTTAGGGGACCAAAAGTATTGGGACAAATTCACTTATACAGTGCATTCGGAAAGTATTCAGACCCCTTGAATTTTTCCACATTTTGTTACGTTACAGCCTTATTCTAAAATTAATTAAATTGTTTTTTTCTTTCATCAATCTACACACAATACCCCATAATGACAAAGCAAAAACTTTTTTTCTGTAATTTATGCAAACGTATTAAAAATACAAAACTGATATCACATTTACATAAGTATTAAGACCCTTTACTCAGTACTTTGTTGACACACCTTTGGCAGCGATTACAGCCTTGAGTCTTCTTGGGTATGACGCTACAGTGAGGGAAAAAAGTATTTGATCCCCTGCTGATTTTGTACGTTTGCCCACTGACAAAGAAATGATCAGTCTATAATTTTAATGGAAGATTTATTTGAACAGTGAGAGACAGAATAACAACAAAAGAATACAGAAAAACGCATGTCAAAAATGTTATAAATTGTAGACTGATCATTTCTTTGTCAGTGGGCAAACGTACAAAATCAGCAGGGGATCAAATACTTTTTTCCCTCACTGTACAAGCTTGGCACACCTGTATTTGGGGAGTTTCTCCCATTCTTCTCTGCAGATCCTCTCAAGATCTGTCAGGTTGGATGGGGAGCTTCGCTGCACAGCTATTTTACATTTACATTTTAGTCATTTAGCAGACGCTCTTATCCAGAGTGACTTACATTTTGCATACATTATTTTCAGGTCTCTCCAGAGATGTTCGATTGGGTTCAAGTCCGGGCTCTGGCTGGGCCACTCAAGGACATTCAGAGACTTGTCCCAAAGCCACTCCTGCGTTGTCTTGGCTGTGTGCTTAGGGTCGTTGTCCTGTTGGAACGTGAACCTTCGCCCCAGTCTAAGGTCCTGAATGCTCTGGAGCAGGTTTTCATCTCTCTGTACTTTGCTCTGTTCATCTTTCCCTCGATGCTGACTAGTCTCCCAGTCCCTGCCGCTGTAAAACATCCCCACAGCATGATGCTGCCACCCCCATGCTTCACCGTAGGGATGGTGACCGGTTTCCTTCAGACGTGACGCTTGGCATTCAGGCCAAAGAGTTCAATCTTGGTTTCATCAGACCAGAGATTCTTGTTTCTCATGGTCAGAGTCCTTTAGGTGCCTTTTGGCAAACTCTAAGCGGGCTGTCATGTGCCTTTTACTGAGGAGTGGCCACTCTACCATAAAGACCTGATTGGTGGAGTGCTGCAGAGATGGTTGTCCTTCTGGAAGGTTCTCCCATCTCCACAGAGGAACTCTGAAGCTCTGTCAGAGTGACCATCGGATTCTTGGTCACCTCCCTGTCCAAGGCCTTTCTCCCCAGATTGCTCAGTTTGGCCGTGCGGCCAGCTCTAGGAAGAGTATTGGTGGTTCCAAACTTCTTCCATTTAAGAATGATGGAGGCCACTGTGTTCTTGGGGACCTTCAATGCTGCAGAAATGTTTTGGTACCCTTCCCCAGATCTATGCCTCGACACAATCCTGTCTCAGAGCTCTACGGACAATTCCTTCGACCTCATGGCTTGGTTTTTGCTCTGACATGCACTGTCAACTATGGGACCTTATATAGACAGGGGTGTGCCTTTACAAATCATGTCCAATCAATTGAATTTACCTCAAGGATGATCAATGGAAACAGGATGCACCTGAGCTCAATTTCGAGTCTCATAGCAAAGGGTCTGAATACTTATGTAAATAAGGTATTTCTGTTTGTAATTTTTTATACATTTGCTAACATTTCTAAAAACCTGTTTTCGCTTTGTCATTATGGGGTATTGTGTGTAGATTGATGAGATTTTTTATTTTATTTTATTCATTTTAGAATAAGGCTGTAATGTAACAAAATGTATATGTATTAAAGTAGTCCAAAGTTTAGTATTTGGTCCCATATTCCTAGCACGCAATGATTACATCAAGTTTGTGACTCTTTGGGGTCCCAGTATGAAAAATGTATGCACTCACTAAAACTGTAAGTCGCTCTGGATAAGAGCGTCTGCTAAATGACTAAAATGTCAAATGTAAAAATTTACAAGCTTGTTGGATGTATTTGCTGTTTGTTGTTTCAGATTATTTTGTGCCCAATAGAAATGAATGGTAAATAATATATTGTGTCATTTTGGAGTCACTTTTATTGTAAATAAGAATATCTAAACACTTCTACATTAATGTGGATGCTACCATGATTACGGATAGTCCTGAATGAATCATGAATAATGATGAGTGAGAAAGTTACAGACGCACAAATATCAAACCCCCCCAAAATACAAACCTCCTCTGTTATTG